GGGGGGGGGGGGGGAGAAACGACACACCCATCCACCCATTTCACCATTAACCAGTTTACAGGCAAACCCTACCATTTATTCTCCTACCAACAACCTCATCATCACCACCACGTCAATATAAAGGCCACGAACAAACACTTTCCACCTTTCTCTACCCCGGGCTAGCTTCTTGATATTATTCATTGTCTTCCCACTTTTTTGAATATCATTGTCTGTGACTCTTCTCTAGGTTCCACGCGGCCTTCCTCTTGATCCATTACCCTGTAGATTCCAAGCCAACATTTTCTTTGTTGTGCAGCTGCCTCGCTTCAGGGGAGATTTTTTTTAAAAATAATTTTTTGGTAGAAGTTTTACGGCGCTTGCAACCTCATAAGGTCATGAGCGCCGAGGGGTGGATGTCAACAGAGAAGTCTTTACTACAGTGAATCAGACTTACTCTGCTCACCTCTCTAGCTTCAACAGCACAGTCTGCTTCGACTATCAAGGCACCCCGGAAATAACGGGTCACTAGAGTGTGACAAACATACAAAAGAAGTTGAGGAAAATGACGATAGTAAGGATTAGGAAAGAAAAAGCAGCAGTTCCCTGTTGTACTTCAGGCACGGTGATGAGCTTGACATTGTTGAATCATCCCATTTACAACCGGGGAGAATGACCAATCCATCGCCACTGCCTTCTTCCAACTTCATCTCTGACTGGGCTCTGTCTTGTTCTCCTTAACACTGTCTGTCCCCCTGATCCCCAGTATATGTGAGGCAGCGTGGTGGAATCAGGCTCTCGTCAAATTTTCGGCATGTTGAGTTATTGGTAGGCCTATCATCTTAAAACGTGTTCACTTGTCTTTATTTGAATGAAAAAAATATCCATTTATCTTGAATAAAAGTTGAGATACTTGCGAAAGAAGGAGGTGGGGGTCACCTGTTTTCAGAAGTAAAATTAGTGAGAAAATGGCCGCCAAAGATTAGTTATTTCCTAAACTTAAGAGTCCGTGGTAACTAAAAAATTACAATTGTTGTGCCTTTATGGAAAGTTTTTCAGAAAAATCCTCACAGAAATGAGTTCTTTAATGTGTATGAAAGGTGCTGAGCCAATAAACAAAAATTTGATAAAAATTTACAAACCTGCGTAAAAATGCAGGTTTCCTCACTTTGATTATTTTGGCGAGAGCCTGATTCCACTACGCTGCCTCACATATTTGTCCGACACTTGTTAAAAAATAAAACTGGGAGTGTTACTGATATGGTCGTTTTTAAGGACAAGCGGGCTAACCCAGATTTCGAGGGTTTTCAGAAATCTTGACCAACACCAAAAGTGGGCTTTGCCCTACCTATAGGAGAAGTTTGGTTTCTTCGGTGCGTATATTTGTTTGGTTATAGAGAAAACTCTACTTGTCTTTTAATGAGACTTAATAAGCATCCAAAAACTTTAACTTGGATTTTCTCAAAACAGCGTTTATCGGGATAGTCCTCTTGTGCTTAAATGCGAGCATAGTATAAAGTGTATCATAACTGTACTTTATGCAACTCCATGGAACTTTCTCTTGTAAAACGTGTGTTCTTTCCGTGATGTGGGCATATGGCATTAAACACTAAATAAAATACATTCTATCACGTACATAGCCGACCCACACAAAGCAAACACGCATATAGAGAAAAGATTTTCAGGTCCCGAATATTTTCTTAATATTATACTTTAGTATTCAAAACATGTACCAAGCATTGGACCAGCTCTCCTACTATCGCTTGTGTATGGTTGGCTGGTGCTCTGATGTGGTTTGTTCCCTCTTTCCTATCAGATATCTATCTATCGTCCTTGTCATTGATTCTACCCTTTGTGTATGTTACTCTCGACTAACACCTATAATCTTCGACACCACTAACAATATAATAATAATAATAATAATAATAATAATAATAATAATAATAATAATAATAAT